ACCTTGAGGCTACTTTTGGAAAAGATTTTAAACAAGTTGAGTCATCTTACTTCGTCAGAGGAGGGATGTTCTACTGAAATAACCTGTGAAACATTTAATGACTTTGTTCGCTTATTTAAACAAGTAACCAAAGCTGAAAGTCTCAAGGATCAAACTGTATACATTGTAAGTAATTTGATTATGTCATCTCTTATGTGAAAACTGTTTATTAGATCAGTTCCCCAATAGCTACTATACAAGGTGCTTTGGAGATACAAAAATGTTGGTACTATTCTTTATCTAAAAGGAACTTTGTTTATCAGAAGAATTAAAATTAATATTCACATATGACTGACTGCATGCAGAATGTGATAAGTGATAATCACTGCCTAGTTACTGACTAAATCCCTCTGGTATGCTTCTTGAGGTGGTAGCATTTCAAGCACTAATAGAATAATTAGGGTAATTTTGGAAGAAACTAAAGAAGAAAAATTTCAGATGGAGGGAATTGTGTAGCCAAAGGCATGGAATGGATTCCAGGGAATGCCACATAATCTAGTTGTAGTATGTTACAAAGCTTGAAAAGAGAAAGTGAAGTCTAGAATGATAGGTGGCATCAAATAATGAAGGGTCTTGAAAACTATACAAAAGCACTTTATTTCATTTCTTAGGCAGTGAAAGGACAAGAGTGAAGGTTTTAAGAGTAACAAATATGGCTTAGGAAGATTACTCTGAACATGTGTTAAATATGAATTGGAGAAGGATGAAAAAGTTGAATGCTAAAAGAATGGTTTTGAGGCTATTAAGACTATGGATATGAGAGGAAATTTGGGCCTATGCTAGAATTGGGGCAAAAGTTGAAAAATGAAATAAATGGAAAAAGACAGAAAAGGTTAGACTTGTCACTTGTGTATGGGTTAGGTTTGGGGTGAAAAGCAAATTGTTTGATTTTTAGGTGATCTAAGTTTGAATTGTTATTACGTCAATGTGAAAATGACCAACAGACAATTGAAAATATGTACAGTAGTCCCCCATCTGTGGTGTATGTATACATTCCCAAAACCCTACTTTCAATAAAGCTTTTCTTGGTCTCATACAAAAAAAAAAAAAAAAGACCTGGTGACTAGGTAGGAAAGAGATGGTCATGTTCTCATTAAGTGGAAAAGCAAATATGGACAGGTGAACAGTAGCTATGAGGAACGTGGATGAGTCAAGTTTCCAGCATGTTGAACTGGGGACACCTGTGAACCTTTGAAGAGAGATACATGTGGATAGTTGGACTCAAGTCTGAAACTTTGAAATGAGATCTATGCTGCTGGTAAAGATTAGGGTGTGTGTCAGTGTTTTCCCCAAAGCATATTCCAAAGTTTTGATCACCTAAGGATGTGAGTTTTATTTTAATTTCTCTACTTTGTCTATCTGGAACACAGATATGGATTTTTGTGTTAGTTTTTTCATGAAATTTAATTTTTTCCAAATCTTAGACAAAATTATTTTTTTTCCCAAATATTAGATTTTATCTTAAATCCAAGAAGATACTTCCCCTTACCTCGGTCACATTGTTACTTACCCTACCTTGAAAGGCAGTGATATAATGAGTAGCTGGAAATGACAAGGGGTTGGTAAGGAGGAAATGTTCTTGAAAAATATTAAGGTAGTAGTGTTGATAAGACTGATAGTCATGGCAATCTAGAAGGAGTGGTTCAGGGTTTTCCTGAGATTCTGACTTCAGTCATTAAGTGTATGCCAGTGAAATTCACCTCTAAGAAAGTCAGACATACAGGAAGTGGAAGAGATTAATGCCAGTAGTTGAAGTTGGTTTTACTGTGGGTATTTTTAGTTTAATATACATGTGTCATATTCAAATATAGATTTGGGAATAGGCAGTAAAATATAAGTTGGACTCAAGATATAGATTTGATAATTCTAGGTATATAGGTAAAACTATGGTTATGGTAATATTTATCCAGTATATGTAATGAATTGAATACAAAGAATTAGAAAAGAGAGTTGGAGAAGGCATGATGTCAAGAACACTATTTAACTTAACTTATAGGTGGAGAAAGAGAAGCCAATATGCCAGGGTTACAATTTGAAATATTCAATATCTCTAAAATACAAATAAATCAGCAGATCAGATGTGTTTTAAAATTCCCTTTAATTCTCCCGGGAAGTTATCTACTTGCCTACTTATCTATTTGTTCCTCAATTCACACACATTTTAGTACTATTAATTGATTAAATTAGTCTAATGATTTTCAAATCACCTGTGGAGTTTTGGTAATAACTGGTGTGATCTTTCACTTGGTAAGGTTGTTAGTAGATGAACATCACTTGCCCCTGAGCTATATTTGAAGTAAGGGACACCATCAAACTGTTCCAACAATTTCCCTACTTAATTTATACTCACTAGGTAACTTCAAGTTTCAATAATATCAAGTATATTGCTCATGGTCTTGGTTAATATTTTTCCTTCTATTTCTATGAGATGAGATTTCTATTTAACATTTTCTCTATTATAAGTTAAATCGTAAGTATAGTTCCTTATTATATTTTATTTAACTAGATCAAACCCAATCCTGCAGTCTAGGAGAGGCAGTGTAGTAGGGTGATTATGAGAAGACCATTGGTTGTAATATCCCAGAGCCTCATTCCTAACCCTGTTATAGACATTTTAAAGAATATCTCTGTTCCTCCATTTTCTAATGTGTGAAATGGGGATGGTAGAATTTAAATGAGTTCATTTATATATATATAATCAGCCTGGAACAGAGCCTCTACTTTTATTGACAAAAATGTTAATACCTGTGAGGTTCTGGTGGGTTTTCATTCATCTTAATGGAGGGGTAGTTCATAGGGACAGTGCAATGTAGGATGCACAGAAAGGGGCAACCCTAATTCTCTACTGCTCCATTTGCGTCCTCTATCCCCTGCAGCCTCCTTTCTATGGCTCATTGGCTTGTGTTCACTTATGTCACAGTGGCCTTACATTAGCCCCACATACCCACAACCACTTTTTTAAACTGTCCTCTGCTTTCTCACAGCCCAAAGTCCATTCAGTGCATGGAATCTGCAGTTTTCACCATAGCCTTTGAGATGGAATTTCTGTGATTGTGCTGGCTGGCAGGTGAGATCTGCTGCCTCCCCTGCTGGTGTTGGATCAGGAGTAAGAAGTGTAGGTATGAGCAAGCATGTGAGAGTCGTGCAGGTGTGATAGGCTATAGACACTGCTCAGCTTTTGTTCTTCCCAAAGCCTGATGGCCCTGAGTGGGTGGTATTGCAGGAAGGAGACATCTCCTTAGTCCTATGGCTAGATGAAAGAGAAACAAGTGCCCCAAACAGTGCCTTTGAAATGGGCTTTTGGGAATTGATAGATATTAGTAAAGTCCCTAATAATATGAGAATTATCATTATCATGAATATATATATAAATATTTTGTTTGAGACAGTCTTGCTGAGTTGCTATGTACTTTGGCAGCTTGCTGATACTGGCTTTGAAATCGCTATGCTCTTGTCTCTGCCTCCAGAGCCACTGGTGCTCCAGCCCGCCAGGTTAGTGATTATATATATATATGAGAGAGAGAGAGAATTTTTTTTTTTTTGTAGATGGACACAACACAATGCCTTTATTTTTATATGGTGCTGAGAATCGAACCCGGTTGCGCCCATGCTAGGGGAGTGCTCTACCGCTGAGCACAATCCCAGCCCCCATGAAAATATTTTTAATGAGAAATTTTTCCCTCAAACCAACTTATTTCATGTAATGAGGGTTTGCAATGAAAAAATGGAGTAAATGAGAGAGAGCTATTTGGGCTTGTTAGTGATTTTGCCACCAGTTTTCAGTCATCAGAAAGACTTTTTCTATTATAAATGTTTAGTTTGTGTCATTTACATATATTCTTAACTTTCATACACTTAGCATCAACATTTTACAATCTGTATTGTCTATTATTTTAGCTTTCATAAGCTTTAGAGAGCTTATAAAATTATGTAAATTTGAAAAATATTATCTCATCACAAGTCTTTGGAAATGTAGAATGGCCAGATACTGATTTGAGATTTTAAAAAATAAGGCTTTCTAGGAATTATTTATTTATTTTCCTCTCTTCTGGGACGCTAAATTAATTCTTGTCTCTAGCCCTAATTTGGGGTTTGGCTTTGTTCTTTCTTCTTCTAACCCTCATTTACTTGCTTCCTGTCTCTTCTTCTTTTTCTCCATTCTTCTCCTGCCCTTTCTCTCACCAATGACTTTAAGAGGAAGCACTGTCCTAATGCTCCATTCATAATTTTCTCAGTATTTTTATGAAACGAGTCAACAGCACATGCAGGGCTTGATTTCTGTGACCCACGCTCTCACTCATGTTCTCTTATTCTGAATTCCCTTAATGATACTTTCCTTGTGTAAAGTTCTAGATTTTCAAAAAAACATTTGCAGATCCATTTGTCTTTAGATGTCTTTTTAAATTGCTTTACCAAATCACCATTTTCTCCACTGAACATGTGCCACATTTACCTTATTTACTCACACAATCCAGTCTTTAATATACTTACCTTGTCTAGCAGATATATAGACCCTTAGAAAAGAGATTGTATCTTTTGAATTTTTAATTGCTTCAGATCCTTTGCAAACTCTTTTACTTAGTCAATGCCCAAGAGATATCTGCTTAAGTCTGCTACACAGAATTAAATTAGAAATCAGTTTTATCCCAAAAATTCAACTCAAGGCCACATAATTCCATCCTCCTGGGTTGCTAGCTTTTCTTTGATGGATGAAATTGCCATAATAATGTTCACAGCAGCAACTCAGGGCACAAAGCACCACAAAGTTGAAAGGGTTGGTTTTTAAAGACACAGAATTCAATCCCAAAATACACAGCCTCCTTTCTTCGTGAGGAAAGCCAGGGTGGCTATTCCAGCACTCCCAGTGGATGCTCACAGGAGTAGGCTGACTACTGAACTGCTGGAGTAGCTCATTTACAGAGAACATTTGGCTCAAATGGCAGTAAGGAATGACACTTAAGTAAGTGGTTAACACTTTTATTTCAAAAAGCAGGATATTTTATATAACACTTTCTGAGAAAATAATTAAGATACTGTAATTAACTGAATCCGACATTTTAAACACAATAAGAATGTATAGAAACTTTCAAATGTGGGTTTATTCAAATTTTATTTAAATACAATACAATTTAATTGGGAGTTTTAAGTGGTGATTTCTGTCTTTCACAAAATGAAGATCTTTTGCAGATTTTCATTAATTTATTTTCTTAAATTTTACAGCCTTGGTGTATCTTACAAGGGTTTGATCTTTTAATGTAGAATATAAATAATGCTTTTAATATTTTTTGGTGGTATATGTGCCATGAAATGTCCATTTTCCTTTTTATAACCAATGCAAGACAAACTAACACTAGCACAAAAAGGAATGGAAGCATCTAAAAATCTTGTCCCACTCAAGTAGCATACAGTCTGACATTCAAAACAGATTCTTCCCTGAAAATTATAATTGCTCTCCATCCTCTTCAAAAAGGAAAACAGAACATAATGTAGAAACATGTATATGATTCATTGGTCCTCACTGGATGTACATTTCTGCCTGCATTGGCTGTCCAAGGAAATGAAATGACTAAACCTATGGTTTCTTTCCTTTTTTTTCATTTAATTTTTTTTTAGCTATGATCATATGACCTTTTTAAATTAAAAACTTCTTTACAATGTTATTTCTTTTTCAGTTTCTATAAGCTATCTCCTTCCACTACAAAAAACTGATGGGCACTTTTCACATTAAATGCACATGAAAGTGGGAAAACAAACTTATAACCTTTAAGTTTTCTGGGTGTTATATAGAAATATCCATTCCTATTTCTTAAAAGTGCGGCTATCTTGGTTTATTCTGGATTCTCCCCATTTACCAACTTAGCATTTAGTACTTACTGTTCAGTACTGAGTATGGCAGTGTTTAGCAGTGTGCATCTTTTTTCTCCCTTTTTCTTTGGTTCCCATACTTGGGTCCAGTGTTAATTTTCATGTAAGAGCTTTATTCACTTAAAACTGTTAATCGTTATGTCTACTATACTTAAAAGAGGTTGACTCACAACTCAAATGCTCACCCACACACACTGAAGAAAAGTTTCCATTTTGTAAAACTAACATTCATTATTCAGTATTTTAACATGTCACAGAACTTTCCATTTAGAATTTTACTTAAAATATATATTCTTCACATGAAGTTGTCATATAAAAGAAAGAATATCTTCTCTGATTTCAAAACCATCAAAGTAGATTTTTAAAAACTACTTTCCAAACCCCAGGAGTAGCATACTTGAAGGGCAAGAACAGCAGTATCTTTTGAAAATGAATTGGGAAAAGTCAAATTGGATTCATATTTCAACATTTCTTAATGGTACCAATGAATCCAACTGACTGAACTGAACAGGTGAGTAACTACTATTAGCACTAATTGTAGGTATGTAACTACACCGAAGCAAAACTGCATCTCATTCTTTCAATTATTGAAATCATGTAGGCAGGTTGTTTAATTTGCCTCATCTCACTGTCTCTCTAACAGCTTTGCAGTGCACAGATTGTTCAGAGGGATTCACAAACTGTTGCCGCCTTCAAACGATATACTACTCTAAAAGGTAGCCAAGAAATAATTGTATGTTGTACTGAACATAAAATAATTTGTGGCTTCAAACATGTTTTTGACACAAAGCCTGAGTGCCCATTGTAGAAAATTTTGTCAATTCATGTGAAAATATTTACTACCTGTAACCATAGATACACAAAATCATTGTGTGTGTTATGTAACATTATGTCAGTAATGCATTTGTTACTGTTTTGAGATTTCTTTTGGTCTAGATTACTGTTCTGTCAAATAACTTTTATTATTATTATTGTTATTATTATACTACAGTAAGTGATTGCTATACTAAATTTGCAATTGTAATCATAATTTTCCTGGGAATGCTAAATTATGTCTTAATTTTATTCAAAGCTTTTATTTTTAAAGCAATTAAACTTATTGTTGATTGATATTTACCATCCAATGTTCCTGAAACACTAAAAGAGTATGTTTTATACATAATCTTCCATTATACCACATTGCTTGATAGTAGCTATTTGATATAACAGCATTCAGTTGAGTTTTCAAACCAAAGAACTAAAATTATAGCAATTTCACTTGAAATCCATAAATCCATGCACAGGATTGTGTTCAACAGAATCACTAAATGCTATTTGTTATTCAAAGATGAATGAATCAATAGAAAAATAGAACTGATAAATCATTGGCACTTTAATGCAGAGTGGAGAGGAAAACTAATAAATCATGCATTTCAAGCACTTGTTTTCCTTATGGCATGTTTGAAAACATAAAACATGCAATGATGAGATGCAAGTCAATATGAATGAACAATACCAAGACTGCTCAGAAGCATTTCATTTTATATCACAAGCTTAAAGAAACACTAAGAAAAGTAGTAATTCCATGATTTCTTTAAATAATCAAAGAACCCAACCATGCCATGAACACCTTAAATAGTGATCTAGGCCATTTAATATTTCCAAATAAACATTTGAAATGTCATAGAGATGGGACTGGAATACGTGAATGGGAGGGGGCTAACTGCATGCATGATTTGATTCAATGAGCTCAATATTATTACAGATACCAATTTATACTAGAAGGGAACTGATATAATCATTTACTTTCTTCAAGTGCACTTAACTGATCCATTAAAAATTAAAGACATCTATATTTATAAAGGACCAAATAACCAAGAAATTGGCTCAAGCTTTGTGCTGTATGACCTACTGTCTATGAAAGGTGAGAATTTTGATCATAATAAATGGGTAACTCACTCTCTTCCCATATGTTACCTCTCAAAAATTAATCATAAGAACCATAAATTTGTTCCATATAATTATGCATTAACCCATTTCTCTGAAGCATCTTTTTCTGAAAATTTGGTGAGAAACACATTAATTAAGCACATATTTTAAAACATCTATTTGGTTTCTGGTGTGATTATAAATTTTCTTCTATATTCTCATACAGAAAGGGATAAAGCTTGCCATATTACCACACTTCACTGCCAAGAAACATATTTTAATTCATTTTTTGGAATTAAAAACCAATGAACAAAATAAAAAAAAACATTTTCTATTTTTTAGCACAAGAAAATCTTATACCTGATATTTATTTCCACTCAGAAGAGTTAAGATGTTGAAGAAAAACTATTTAGTATCATAGACAACTATTGAATAGAACTTTTGAGTTAAAAGTGTCTCCTTAAGTCATCAAAGATCATTTGATACACTAAGAGGGAAAAGTATAGCAATCTGCAACTATGATCATTGCAGCATTACTGATTAATGCTTATTAATAATTAGAATCACACTGAGACTTGTGTTTCCCATGGTATTTCCTTTTCACGTTTCACAGGTTTTTCTCACAGATTAATAAATGGAAATTGAGTAAGATGCAGTGGGAGACATAAAACTCTTTGGAAATGCATGCAACAAAAATATGCAGTACCACTTCATGTAAACTTCTGCTTTCTTCATGCAAAGGTGCCTATAAAAACTGAGACAATAAATTTTCTAATAGCTGAATTCTACATTAGCTCAGAAACACAATCTATTAAACCAATTCCATGATTTTGCATGAACAGAAGACTTGAAATGGTTTGAAGATTTCCAGCATAAATGCTCCATGGCCCAATTATTCTAATTAAATTTCTAAGAACAAAATCATAGAAGATTATTCCTTGCTTCGGTTTCTTGTTCTTTTGACGAGGGAGCAGAATAACCCGGTTTTTGGAGGAGGGCCCATCAGCATTGGGGCTTGGTTCTTGTGTGTGATTTTTATCTAGGAAAAAAAGAGAGAGAGAGAGAGAAGGAGTAATCTCCAAATACAATACTGATTTCAGAGAATCCCTGCTAAGGTTAAAAGTATTTCATTTGTTACTGAAACACCACAAGAGTAAAATTTCCTTTCAGTTTTTTTTTAAAATTTCTAACATACTTTTAAAGGAAACAGGATATGCATTTAAATAATATTCCAATGCTAAATATACTAACAAAAAATAAAATTTAGCTGAAGTCACATTTAAATATGATGTTATCTCTAACCTAGCTAGTAGTACTGTAAAACCCCCAAACTCTTTATTTAGGCTATATGATAACTGACTATAATTTCTTGACCATTAGTTATGTATTATTTATTGAAAGCAGGAAAAGATGCACCATTACTGTATCCAGAGTCCCAGTGATGGCCCCACATTAACATGTGCTTAGTTGGAGAGCCTTATTTATCTTGCTAATCATATTGTTTCTTTCTTTCAACATGAACTGCAAGGTTTAATTCCCAAACAATCATTAAGAATGAAAGTCAAAAGTTAACATGCAAAAAAGGTCAGAAATGATGAACTAGCTTTCTAATTTGTTAATTAATTGGTAATAGAAAAGAATCAAATATTGAAAAGCCTGCTTAAAACACTTAGAGAGACTGTTCTAAAGCTACTCGTTTTGATTTCTTTAATATAAAACTACGAATCACCTTAAATGAGACAACCTTAAAGTAGATTATGTCTGCAATTTTCTCTAATTCAACTCTAAATTAGAGAAGACATTTTATGAATATATGCTATGCTCAAAGCTAATTGAAAGCAATTATCAAAGTGGCATTTTGTCTGTGACTTTAAGATACATTGTAAGATAATAAATGATTCTCATTATGTAATAAAAAGGTCACATCTTGCCTTTGGGCTAGTGACGCTAAGAGTTTTTCAAAAGCAATCTGAGACATTTTCTTTAGCTTACTGTGACTGATACAAGAACCATCGCTTATTAAATATCAGTTGTCACCTGCACGGTATCCCTATCAGAGATGAGTATTTCTTTCAAAAAGAAACACCACCTCATTAAAACCTGCAAAAAATATATCTCTTAAAGTGCATACCTGACATTTTCAAGTTAAAATGAATATCCTTCACTTGTCATTCATTAATAGCAATGAAACAAAAAGAAAAAAGTTTGTCACATGAACAGGATCATTAAAATCAGTACTAGGCTTTTGGCAAATGGAAATTCACTTCACAGCCTATAAAGACAGGAGTGAGAAACCTTGAAAGAATGAACAACTTTATTTAAGTCTGTTGGAATCAGGTTATACTAGAAGGGTTCAGTGTTCTTCTTTTCACTGTAAAAATAAATTGCACTTGTAAAAGGTCACTAGGCTAAGCTGGCCCCAAATCTCTGGATATCTTACTTTATTATATTTTTGTTATCTTAAGAAGTGGGCAGATGATAGCCACACAGATGAGATGCCAAAAATGTACCTGTCTGTATAGATTTAAAATGGTCTCTACCAAATTTTATCTCTTAATAATTGTTTTAGATTACACTGAATATTAAGCCATTGATTTTTAAACTCCTCTGAATTCTAGCTTTAGACAAAATCTAATATAGTATCAATCATCATTTATTCGTTTTATAAAATTTACTCAGCCTCTATTATTCTTTGGACATTTTACCAGGAACTTAGAATAAATAGACCATACACAATCTTTGCTCCCAAGAAGTTATAGTCTAGTAGGACAGAGAACTTGAGGAAGCACATTTAATATTATTATCCACACTGAAATAGGAGGCTAAGCAAAGGCACTGTATTTTTCTGTGCTGGAAATGAAAATGAGTCAATTTATACATGCAAAAAAAATGTTATTTTTAAATGAGTACCTGGGGAAGTGGTTATTACCTATTACTTACATGATAACCTTAAAATCAAATGAAACAGCAGGTAAAATTAGAAGACATATTTCTGATTCACAATTGCTAGACTAACTCCTTTAAAAGGTATAGTATAAAGACATTTCAGAAGATAAGATAATTTTATTCAATTGTTATTAAGTCTTTGGAAGAAATTTATTTTTATAGTCACATATAAAATGAGCATCAATTTATGACAAAGTATAGCCAAGATGTCACAAATTATTGCCTATGAGATTTTTTTTTTGTTCTTGTGTGGTTTTTTTTAGGTATTTGAATTTTGTTGGATCATGAGTATCTTTATATTGAATATCCTTCTTCAGAAGAAATCATATGTTCTTATTCCTTTGAAATAACAGTATCTCATTCAAATCTCTTTACAGACTATGACTCTGTATCCTTGTTACTAATAATTCACTTCTATTTTTCTGTTTTGAAAGAGTTTAACAGCCAGTTCTATTTTTATAATTATTTATAATCTGGTTTCTTCTTTGTTTAACTTCTCTGTTTAACTTCTTTGTTTAACTTTTGGTCAAAATATACAACTCTTTTTAAAATATAACTTTATTTCTGTAAAGAATTAATTCCATATCGTTTTTATCTGTCCATGGAAATGAAAAACAACTGGTTATTTCCCTCTTGGTGAGGGGAGGTAACATGGAGAAAACCAGCATTCACAAAATATCTATAATGTGTCCAGGTTCTCTGCACATATCCTCTCATTGGAAAATTACATGTCTTTGTATATTTGGGCAGAAGCAAAAATGAACCCATTAGAGATAAACCTGGAATGACTGCAGAAGTTAGAACATTGCCGTAAAACTGCAAGGTAAATGTTGTCGTCAATGGAATGATCCCCTATCAAAACTCTTCCTGTCTCCTGAGCATCTACTAGTTTGAAACCAACAGCAGCAGAAGAAAGGAATTTCTGCTGCCCATGGTTTTTCTATTTGTCTTTCTATTTCAAATTAATTTTGTCCATATCTAAAAATATGGAGATTAAAAATTTGATTTTGGTTTTAGTTTTATGAAACAAGGATTTAACATAGAAACCAATAACCAAATCAAAGATAAAAAGCATTGTTTTTTGGTGGTAAACTGTTAATATTATTAAGGTTGCATAGTGTGCTAGCTTTAGCTCCTAATAGTAAAAATGCTAGCACAAATATATGCAATTATTATTTATCAATTAATTTTTTCAAAGACTAATAGTAAGAATAAAGTATTTATTTGGCTTTTATTCTGGGCTGAGTTTTATATCCATTGTTTGCTATCTGGGACTTTTGGGATATTGTTGTCATTCATTTCTCTCATTGGTACTGTAAAGATTTTAATATAGTGTCTTATTGGTTTCCTGTAAACATAAATGAATTGATGTACACAAAATGCTTAGAATGTTATTTGGCACATAAAAAGCACTCATTAACTGTTAATTATTAGTAGGAGAATTAGAGTAATGTTAGTGTTAAAAACCATCTCTCCACAAAATGAATTAAATACAGTGTACCTAAAACTAACACAAAATTAACAGAAAATTACTTACACATATGGAGTAAACTATTAGAAGAATCAGAACAGTTCATCTGAGGAATGGACTTGTGACACAGTACTATTGATGAGACAAGTCTATAATTGTAGTTTTTCAAATATTATCTTGATATAAATGTTAAATAACTTTAAAAATTCCCTATGCAGTGATTATATTGTATCCCAGTGTTCTTAGTTCTTCAAATGCAGTCCAAAAACAAGGCACTTACATCATTCTTAAGAAATACAGATTCCCCATAACTTCTGAATCAGATTCTACTTTATAACAAGAATCACACATGATTTATATGCATGTTTAAATTTGGGAAGCCTGGGTCCATATGTCATTTTATTTTCTTCCTAAGAGGCAAGGTCAATAAATCACTGCTGACTGAAAGAGAATAGCATCCCAAAATATGACTGAGAATTAATAGTAACAAAACAAATATTTTCAATTACTTGTTATCTTTATTCTTAATCTTCTAGGTACCACCTAATTTTCATTTAGTGCTGGAGATTTCAAGTTAAATAGCCTTTTTCTTTTCTTAACCTATGAATTTTCTAGTCTAATGACAGTGAGAAATATGTATACATGTTGTGCTATAGAGATCCTTTCAGTTTGTAACACACACACACACAAAATTAGGATCATGGTAGAAGGACAGTGATGTAATTAAAGGAGTTTCAGTCACACCATCATAAATTAAGGGTTGGGTGCAAGACCTGAGGCAGGAAAAGGAGGTATACGGTTAATGTAGTAATTCAGAAAAGAATTTCAAGAACTTTAGTTATGGTAGTGCCAAAGACATTGCAGTAGGGGGCATATATAAAAGGCATTCAGGAGGAAAAATCTATAGGCTGAAGCAGATGACTGGATGTGTGGTATATTGGAAAAGGAAAAATTTCTAGTATGATTCCCATGCTTTGGGTATTAGTTGTTAGTTGTGAAGTGACACTATTTTATAGCAAAATAAGCATTTTTTTTTTTTTTGGCAGGGGTGAGAATCAGAAAGTTAGTGAAGTCAGAGTTGAATGTGACATTTTAAAGGAGAGGTTCAAGATTTTTTGAAAATGTGAGTCTGGTGTTTAGAATGGGGAATAGGTCTTCAGACAGATTTAGTTTTGCTACACATATAGTAATATCATTCACTTAGATTACTGAAGAATGGTATAGCAAATATAAACAGCAGATGTTAGACTTTGTTACTTGGGAGTATGGAAATTAGAGGATAAAGGAAGAGAATGATATCCTATGAAGAATATGAGTACAAAGAACAGGAGAGGCAGGAGAAAAAATGGAAAAAAATGCCATTATGAAAACATTTCCAATCCATCTTCAGTGTGGCTTATTTCTCTTTTATTAAGTAAGGTGAAGACTTAATATTCCATTAATCTAGTAATATGCATGTGTATAAGTTAGTTTTGTGTCACTGTGACCAAAATTCATAACAGAAACAACTGAGAGGAGAAAAGGTTTATTGTGCCTTCTGGTTTCAGAGGATTAGTGCATAGGTGGCCAGCCCCATTTCTCTGGGCCATAAAGATGAGGCAGAACCTCATGGCAGAAGGGTG